ATCTATCTATCTATCTATCTATCTATCTATCTATCTATCTATCTATCATCTATCTATCTATCTATCTATCTATCTATCATCTATCTATCTATCTATTTAATATTGCCACCTATTCACCCATGGCGACTTGAGGCAGCTTACACAGTGTAAAACCATATTTAAAACAAAAAATAAAAATAAAAAACAATAAAAATTAATAAAAAGAATCAAATAAATTATTAAAGTACAATAGAACAAAATTTGGGGGAAAAAATTTAGAAACCAAGAGTTTAAAATATACCAGTCAGTCTATCACAATCACTGATATATCTGTATTTATTAAGTCTATGAATGGAATTCAAAATAGGGATGGACAAATTGTGGCCCACATTGTTTTCACATATATCATCAGGGTATTATATTCTACTTCCGTGTTATTTTTTCATTTAAAAAAATCTGCTCCAAAATAAATGTGTATTTTAAACACCATGTACACTTTCATCAAAATTCATATTTCCAATCACATTTCTTTTCAAAATAATGTATTTTAAAATTTTGTATGAGCAAAATCAATTTGGTAATATGCAAATATGCACAGTAGTCTCAAAAAATGGAGTATGTTGGAGGAAATATCAGTGTGCTGATTACAATACTAAGACATGCTGAGCATAGAAGCTCTTCCACATGCAAGCTGCATCACTACATATCCCATCATAACACAGGGCTTTTGTTTGCTTTGCAGGGCAAACCAGATAGTAATCATAACCAGACAAGCTAATTGTACCTTATTGTGAAACTACACTGATAGAACATTCCAAGGCTGAGAGTACAATCCTGTCACACTTCTACTGTTCTGCCCTCACTTTTTGATTTGATAAAATGTCAACTGCTTTCATTTGCTTATCCAGTATAGCAGCTCTTTCCATACCATACCTGTCATTTTAGATCCATTTTCAAATTAGACTCTTTTATCCAATAAAATTTGCTGTCTTTCCATATAGGCTTCCAAGCACAATCTGTCTATAATAGCAAATATTTAAAAAATTGACTTTAGAGTCCATTGTCCTAATTTCCTCCAAAATATCCAATGTTAAACTTTCCAAAATCAATATTTGAATTACCGTCTCCCTGTTTATTTTTTTAAAAATGGTATTTTTAAGAACTACAGATTTTGTAACATGAGATTTGTTTCCTTCAATATTTAGTGAAGTTTACTAACTTAAAAATTATTTAGGAATAAACAGCAAAGGAGTGATTAGAACTTTGATTTTGGAAAGTTACAAATGGAATAAGAGTAAATATTGATTTGGAATAAGATTTTACAATTAACTATAAGAAATCTTGCTATGGAAAGTACATTTGTTTTTAATTCATTTAGAAAAGATAGAACAGTTTGAAGGCTGAAAACTAGAAGGAATTAAAAATTACAATTAAAGGAGGACACCACTTAAATTTGACTTACTAATGCAGAATTGAAGCACAGTATTTTTAGGGTATTATTAATTATTTTATTATTTATAAAATTTGTTTGCTACCCATCTTGCAAAGGTGATGCTGGGTAGTTTACAACATTAAAATGAAATCATAGTGAAATATATTTTTTAACAATGAACCAAGAAATTAATTTGAAGAGTGTCTGCTTCTATAGATTAACAGTGTTTAAAAGATGTAATGGAATAGGAAAACGTTTTACTGGACATGACTAAAAACAAACTGAAAATGGATTTAAAAATGACAGGTTATAAGAATGATATGGGAAAAGATGCTACATTGGGCAACTATCTGAGGTGTTCATAATTTAAAAGGATATAGAAATAACAAACCAAAAGCATGATCTGGACAACCTTTTTATATTGGATTTACAAAAGAGTCATGGTTAAAGTTTGAAGAATTTTGTGAGAAGGGACAAAGAAAAAAATAAAGAAAACTCAAGTTCTAGGATATTGTTTAAATAGATTAAAGATAAATTTTGTTACAAATAAAAGCAAAAAAATGAACTTAGTTATTTGATCAAGGTTAAAATAGATACATGTCTTTTAGATATGTTGTTATCTCTAAAATATGTAACTCTTAATAGACTTTTGCTGATCAGGACTAAACAAATAGGCTTTATTTATAAATAAGAGATGGGATATGGGAAGAAGAAATTATTTCTTGTATTTTAAAAGAAGGTGGTAAATTACTAAAATGGTTTATACTTGTCATAAATGGTGAAGTTATTTCTTTATATACTTATTTTCTTTACTATATTCTTTTCTATCTTTCTATTTTTTTCCCTTTTCTTCCTTTTCTATTTTTTATTTCTTTTTGTTTGTATTTTTTAATTGTAATTTTTAATAGTATTACTATAAAATAAAATTTGGAAACTTTTGTTAATAAATTCATCATGGGAACAAGTTGCATAATCGGATTAGCCTTCTGTAGACAGAACCCTTTGTTTTAAAATTAAGTTGGTCCACTCTAACCCCAATGGCAAGAGATCATCTGGTTGACACCAAGAGATGCATTATTCAATTGGCTTGTGGGGCTGATCCAGCAGGGTTCTTTCTGTGTTCCAGGTCCCACAGGAATCAGTGGGGTTTTCTTCTGAAATAACTAAAGCTATCAGTGTATTCAAATGCAGCCAATTATAATATGTTGCATCCATCTAACTTGGATATTAGAAAATTACAAACACATTTCTGATTAATCAGAATAGTACATCACCTTCCTTAAAATATTTAAATTTCTGACTGTCAATATATCTTCCTGGGAGGAATCTATTCCTCTTAGCAGTAGTTAATATCTTCTTTTCTTTCTTTTTCTTTCCTGCTTTCATCCCCTTTGTGTGCTTAAGCTAGTAATGTAACTCGATTATCAAACTAAAGCTAGTAGAAGGTAAGACACTGTAAGAGTTCACTATTCCTCACTTCTGCTCTGCATTACACATTATTTTTCTTTATCTTTCTAAGTCATCTCACACAGTTACAATATATAAACAAAATTACTATTTTCAAGAGATTTGCCTTCTTCCCATGGAAGGGGGGAAATATTGTCCTTCTGATTCAGCCATATTTTAACGTTTCATACAAACACATAAGGCCACAATTTATGTAGACTCAAGGTAAATCTAAAACAAACACAGATGTCCAAATATGTATAGCTTCCCTCCTCCCCAATTAGTTCAACTGACTCCAGGGTAAGCAATTAACTTCAAAGGAACTACTGTAGAATACATGATTTGAGGACTGCCATACATAGATGATTTAACAGAAACATTTGTAAAAAAAGAAAAATAAACCTTTCATCAAACCTATGCTTATAAATGTTTTTTTTCAAGTAAAGAATACTTTTTCTTTATTTATTGGAGCTTTCCATAAGCCAAGAGGTAGGATTTGAAGGTCTCTTGCCTCATGTTTCCAGAAATCAGAGACAGGAAATAGAAAATGTGACACACTCACATGAAAAAAGCTATAGAAATCATATAACTACTTTGAATATTTTCCTTCTGATAAAGCATTTTCCTCCTTCTAACTGTCCATGTTACCTTCATGTGTCATGCAGAATAACCAATACATACAGAAGGCTCCTTTACCTGAAGTCTTTCTCATTTAGAAGCAGCTGGGCCCTGAATAGTAGGAACAATCTAGATAGGAACTCTCATCTACCACTACCATCTGCATTCCTTAGTTTACATTATTTTTAAAGTAATCTTTGTATGAGGTAAATGATAACTGTCCTTAACACAATTTGATGACTATTATAATAAGATTTAAATGAACCCTGAGGGATATATACTGCTTTTGGAGAAGTGGCACCTAGGTTTCAAATGTAGTACCAGCTGTCATCCTAGATGGATGGCTCCTGTCATTCAGAAGACCTTTACAGCAGAGGTACTGAGAAGTTATTTGTGAGATCGGGCTATAGGAAGCAGGTGGGAATATTGCCTCTGTACCATCATATGCAACACACCATCATACATAGGGATGGGAGTGAAATTTCTCAGATGTAGTGTATCACCAATTAGTTTATTGATTCATGGTTTAATATATTGTACAAATGCAGCCACAGAATCTCATTGAAGCCCATGCATGAAGTATTTCTACAAAATCTTTTATTTTAGTGAGTAATATTAATCTTAAGAAAATGTGCCAACCTGGAACAGTAATCTTCCCTACTGTTGGATGCTTCATCTCCATTATAAGTTTATTGTGCAGAACCTAAAACATAATAATAAATAAAATCAGTGTGATGAGGGTGATTTTAAAAATATTTTTAAATCAATAATATAGAAAACCATTATTACATATATGGCTAATGACTGTATGGGCACTGCAATACTCAAAATTTTGGCAAAAGTCATAAGTTCCTTTGTTCAATATCATCATAACAACTGCTCACAAATTAAGGACTACCCATATAGGATTCTGGAAGCAAATTTATCAATTAGTTATTTCAAGAATTTTTACTGGCAACATAAAACTGACTTAGAGGTATATAGTTTAAAAAAAGTGGGTAACTAACAAGGGAGATAATACATTTTCCCCAAACTCACATATTTTATATGATTAAAATTAAATAGCCACATGCATATCTGTGTTTTCTCAGTTCATGGCATCCCTGAACAATTGATTTGCATTCTTGTATTGAATGCCAAACAGGGCTGGAACTGAGTTTTAATAAAATAACAAATTCAGCTATTTTTTGTGCAATGCAGAAATACTTTCTTTTTTTGGATCATGTCCACATTGTAAGTGATTTTCTAAATAATTCAACTAACTAGTTCCAGATATACATGGGCAGATGTACATTTTGTATACATAAAAGCAAAAGATGAGCCTCTTCAATAACATCACTACTACAGACCAAGAAATATTCAGGCTAGGCAATGATCCAAATTTGAAGCAAAAAAGACAATTCCAAAATTGCTTGGATGTGTGTGCGTGTGTGTTTATTGCACATGCTTCCATTTCTTTAAAGATTTGTATCCATGAACACATTAGGCTCATGTCTTCTTCAGATCTGGATCACTATCTAGCCCTTCAAAATTATATAACGATACAATGGACCCTGAATATGCACTCCTTTTTCATATCAAATACTGTGTTAGCGATCTCTCTAATTTGGATAGATGATAATATTTGTAAATATTCTCCACAGAATTGAATTGTGGAGTCTTTGGTGCTTTCTGAATTTGGTGTGCTTTCTGGCAGATGTTTCACTACCAAATTAGGTAACATTATCAGTGCAAGAAGGGGGTGGGGCTTGCTCTCATTTTATGTATTAATGGATTGAAATGTTGGTGTTGGTAGGATTGATCTTGATGGTTCTTTAATTAGACTGTTGTGTACCATTTAGCTCATTTATCTTGCATTGGTAGTTCCTTGTTTGAGATATTGTTTCATTCTTGATTATTGGTCTTGATGTTAAATCTGGTCATCTGGGTGTTGATTGCTGGTGAGGATATGTTTTAATCTTTTTGTTTGTTTTTTGGTTTTTCACAGGCTAGCATTGATTGTGCTATAGAAGGTTGAGTGGTCAGATAATTTTGTAAAAGTTGCATAGATATCTACTTAGTTTTAAGATGTTGTATAGATTTATCTGTTTCCTTTTTTTGATGTTCAGGGTTGATGAAGTTTTGTGCTCCTCTAAGTAGTGTTCTTACATAGCTTCTCTTGTGGGAGGTTGGGTTGTTAATTTGGTAGCAGAACACTTGGTTGGTGTGGGTAGTTTTACAATAGACATGTTCTAATTTGATGGGGCTCTGATGGGGAGGATATCCAGGAATGCAGATGTGTGTTTGATTTCTTTTTCCATAGTGAATTTTATTCCTTTCAATATATTGATGATTTTGTTTGTGTTGATCCTTATTATGACAAAGGTGTTATCCATAAGCCAGAATGGGTTGCATGCATGGGAATGCTATAGGTGTTACATTATGGTCTCTTCTATTAGTTCTGAAAGTGGTAATGCCATGGGTATTCCTTTGATTTATTGATATATTTCTCCATCAAACTGAAAAAAGGTGGTTAGGCAAGAGTTGTTCAGATCCATGATACTGGGTATTTCAATCCTGGTGTATTGGATTAGGTCAGATTTGCTGTGCAATGTCATAGATTTTTGGCTAATTCTGGCTCTATGTATATAAGTGCTGTGACATCAAATGAGACCATGATTTCATCTTCTATTTTCACATCTTTTATTCCTTGGAGAGACTGCAATAGACAATGGATGGAATATTTGCTGCCCTGAATATCCAAACGGTTTTGTCAATTTTTTTAGCAATGTTATTGGTTGAGGTCTCTGGTAATGATACAATTGAATAGAGAGGTATGTCTGACTTGTATGTTTTGGGACATCCATAGAAGTATGGAAGGATGAGTCCGCTACTTTTTATCTGCTACTGGTCTTTGCTGATTTTACTTTTTCTGGTGAAGTAACTGAGATTTATCGAGTTTCTGTATTGGATTGGTGTTCACTGGGATGAAAATTGCTTTGTCTTCTAATCTTTCACTTTTTGTGTATATTGTGATCTGTTCATGATAACAGTGGTTAGAACTTTGTCTACTGATAGGATGGTGATAGTTTGGTCCTTTTTGAGTTTTTAAGGGTTACTCTGTCCTCTGCTTTGAGTTGGTTTTGTTCTCTTCTTCTTTTGGTTTGTGGTATGATAGTTTGTTTGATGCTTTCTTGGGTCTCTGTGGGAAGGGCTGTGGTTTTAAATGCTCATTCTAAGGATGCAAAGAATTCTAGTTGATTAGCATCATCTGTGTTACAGTTCAGGCTTTTCTGTGCTCTGCAGTAGATAGTGGGCGGCTGGACATGTTGACCACCCAGTTGATGTTCATCTAGAAACAACAATCCCATACTCTCTAATTTCATACTAAAATATAAAACAGCTGTCAGGCAGATGTTCCACTGCATCAAATGTGCACACATTCTAGAAACTGTTAGATAAACAAAGTTTTCATTAGTTCTTATTAGGAGTAACTGAGATAAAATTGTGCTTTTCATCAAATCAACTTCTGAACTAATAAAGTCTAATGTACAGTCAGAGATTCCCATAATTTTGTACTCAGGTGGACTATTTTCTCACTTTATTCTGAAATTTTTATTGCTGAAAATTTTCTTACTTTATCCTGAAATATTTCTTTTTCATATCTCATACATAGAATCCATTTTTATTCAACTTCATTAAACAAAATGTTAGCATCTATATAATTCAGTTTGTTTTTATTGATATACAATATACTTTTATTTTGTTTATTATTGCATATTTTACTGTTATTTGCTGAGTATGTATTATTTCTATAATCAATAGTTCATTTACTGTAATAATATAGAAATATCAATAATTAATTATTATTGTAAACATTACAATCATGAAATCATTCTCTTTCCTCATAGGATTTCAAACTATTTAAAAATAAATTCATCTCACTATATGCCTGATTTTTCTGTTAAACTATTGGGTGGTATTTGTCTTATTTATTTCCAGAAAATTGGAAAAGAGCTGGTGTGGTTCCCATGTTCAAAAAAGGGAAAAAAACAGACCCAGAAAACTACAGACCAATCCTCTTAACATCATTACCAGGAAGATACTGGAAAAAAACAGAACTGTGAACATCTCAAAACATATAAAGTCAAAACTACTGGCCAGCACAGGTTTGTTAAAAACAGATCATGCCAAACCAATCTTATTTTAATTTTTGACAAAGTGATTAAACTAGTAGACCAGTGAAATACTGTGGACATAGTATACTTAGCCTTCAGCAAGGTATTCAACAAAGTAGATCACAACCTATTTCTTGGAAAGCTAGAAAAATATGGAATAGACAACATCACAACCAGATGGATTTGTAGCTGGCTGACAAACCGTACTCAACAAGTAGTCCTTAATGGCACTACATCCACATGGAGAGAAGTAAGTAGTGGATACCACAAGGCTCTATTTTTGTATTCTTCAATATCTTTATAAATGACTTAGATGAAGTAATAGAAGGGAAACTCATTAAATTTGCAGATGATACTAAACTGGCAGATATAGCCCCAGAAACAAACTCAGGATCCAAAAAGATTTTGACAACTTGAACAATGGGCTCTATCCAACAAAATTAATTTTAATGTAGAGAAAAGCAAAGCTTTAAATTTAGAAAGGAAAAATCAACAGTATAAGTACAGATTAGGTGAGACCTGGCTCAAAAATAGTAACTGTGAGAGGGATGTTGGAGCCCTAGTGGATGATCAGGCATAGAATCAAGATCATGTGAAGTATTAGTGTCACTTTACAAACCCTAGTAAAACCATACCTGGAATAATGCAACCAATTTTGGTCACCATACAACAAAGAAGATGTTGAGACTTTGGAAAAAGTTCTGAGAATTGCAACTAAGATCAAAGGCCTGGAGACTAAATCATATGAAAAACAGCTGCAGGTTTTGGGTCTGGTTGGAAGAGGCACAGAGGTGGTATTCAACTGGTTCGCACTGGTTCCGGTGAACCGGCAGTGGTGATTTGGCGTGGGTCATTAAACTGGTGGCGACCCCTGGCTGGCCATGCCCCTGACCCGGGGGGCCACTTTCCCCAGTCACTCTCCTAGCTTTCCCTACCATGTGGTGGCTGTGGCGCAGCTCGGCAGATGTCCTGCAGCTGCTGCACATGCGTACTGGCTGTGCAGCCACTATACATGGAGTGCACATATGCAGAAGCCCGGGGACATCCGCCCACCTGCCCACCCTCCCAGAGCATGCTTTCTTCCTTCTCCTGGTGGATGTGCCTCTTCCAGCCCGGCCCAGACCCCCAGTAGGTGGCCACATGTCCAGCTGCTCCTTTTTCAGTGCAAGAAGCCTCCCCCAACCGGATGGCTGCTCTCCTCCTTCTCTGCCTGTTTGTTCTGTATGGCCGAGGAGGAGGAAAGTAGATGGCCGGTTGGCTTCTTGCGCTGCGAAAGAGGTGGCTGGAGATTGAAAAAGAGCACAAGAAGCCTCCCCCAACTGGCCAGGAGGGGACCAGCTGGCTGGTTGTGCTGAAAAAGGGGTAGCTGGAGACCGAAAAAGAGTCTCCTCCAACTGTCTCTTCTGCAGCACAGGAAGCCTCCCCCAACCGGCCAACTACTCTCCTTCTCCTCGGCCAATACAGAGCAAACAGGCAGAGAAAGAGGGGAGCAGCTGGCCAGTTGCACTGAAAAAGGGGCATCTGAAGACTGAAAAAAAGTCACCTC